CTGTGACCATTACGAGAGGTCGTGGGTTCGATTATCAGCCTTGGTAACTCACCTGAGATGCTGAAATCTCGTTCACAGCAGAGTCTTCCTCCACAGGGTTCTTGGCTATCTTCTCGGCCTCCTTCATAGCTGGATTCTCCTGAGAAACACTTGTACCTCCTCACACAGAAGAGCCATGTTAGCTTTCATAGACGGAGATTGTCGAGTCGTGACAGATTCACAGCTGGACGGGGGAGCTGAGCTCTCAGCATTGATATACGCCTTTCATATACGCTGTGATACCACACTCTCTTTTTTTGAATCCTCTACCGAATTCTCGGTTAGATACGTAGCGACATAAGGACTGGGTTTTTGTGGAGGAGGTCCCCGGATCGATCCCTAGAGCCGACATCATCGGTTTCAACAACCACTCACGTCCAACGCTTTCTCGGCCTTAGCTGCCTCGGCAGATTGACTAGACTTTCCACTGGCCTCTTCATTGAGCTCTTCGAACCTAAAAGAGAAGGAGTCACCCGAGTTGAGTACAACTGAGTGATACTTACGCTGGGCCGGGATCACTGACGGCTTTGACAGCACCAGCTTTCACGGGAACAGCGCCCGAACAAGTGGGCTTCCGGAAGGTCGCAGTAACTCTGAAATGGTCTACTTCTCACGATTTCCAATGAAGGTTTTTGATCTTACTTTTTCGCGTCGATTTTGTATACACTAATCTTGAATCTAGGTTTAGGCTTCTTGGGCAGCACCGGTTTCGGAGCGGGTCCGGTCATGGGGCTGAAGTCGGCTCCTTTGGGCTCCATGTCTGGAAGGTCATCAGAGATGTTCTGCGAAGAAGATCAGTTTCTCCGCCGCACGCATACACACGATTTGGTCTCCAACTGGACCTCAAGATACGCCCTCGAGCTCACCTCCATCTTCTCGGTCTTCGTATCTTTAGCCTTCTCAGTTGTAGTCTCAAGAACATCTCCCGGCTCGTCGACCTTTCGTTCCGGCAAGTCGTCGTTAGCAACGTCGGACTCCACTTCAGGAGCCGCTACCTCCATGGCTTTAAGAGCCCTTAGTAGGGCGGTGAAATAAGGACAGTTCGAAGTAATGTGATCATGAAAGTAATGGCTGCCAAATCCAAGTCGTGTCTGCCGCACGATCGCCACGGTAGAAATTCATCAACATGCGCCGTTAAAAGCGCACGCCCAAAAATGCGTTGGCGAAACGACTTGGCGAGACAGCTCGAAAATGCCACAGTTCCCGGCACATGTTTGTGATAAGACATCCGGCAGAGTTCATCCTGCACTTCGTCAGTGGGGGGACTACTACAGCATTCCCAAGTCAAATTAATTTTTTTTACCGGGAAGTTGAATTTTTAATCTTTTTCGTTAATATTTTACCCATGGTTTTAACGAAAAATCAAAAGAATTAATGTTATACATGATTTATTTGGAAGTTTAGGAGTGTAATCTCATCAAGGATGCCCTCCATCGAAGTTTTTGGTAAAAAATATTATTTGACCTGGAAATGCTGTAATGTTGCTGAGATGAAAATGAGCGTTATTAACGACGGACTGTGGAGACCCGCATCATGCCGGCCGCTTTGGTTGAGTGGTATAGAGGCCCTCGTAATTCAGCGCTGTTGGACTATGATGTTCCCAACGGAGGAAGTCCTCGCGCAAGACTCAGTCCAGGCCCTGGACTCCAGGGCTCGCTTGTGAACGAGGATGATCTGACAGTGTTTAATCGTCTAACACTCCTACGTGGGAGGACATGTCTTTTCGACGGGCTTTTAGAGACAAGTTGCTGAAAAAGTTCAAAAAAACGCGATCGGGTGTTCCGATGATTTCATGATGGTATCTCTGTAAGTCGACTAGAGGATGGTGAGTCACCATTGGTGATCACTGACCGAGATGACTCCTTGTCACAGTGACTGAGGTTGGCGTTCAAACGGTAGGGCTACAAGGGTGTACTTCTGATTGTTCTTAGCCCAAAGTGGAGCTCGAAACTTGTGCACCAACCACAGGGTCGCGTTAGTCTATGGCTCCATCATGGGAAGAAGGCGATTCTCCCCTGAGTATTATCGATAGGTCTCGCTGAACCCTCTGGTACTTCTGCTTGGTAGCGTGCCTTACACACAGTGTACGTCCATCGAAGGTTACAGCTAGAACCAGAACACCAGTTTTAACGAATAGTGTTAATGCATGGACTCATCCTTTTCTGTACCCTCGTCGCAATAGGAGCTCACTCGACTGCTTTCGTGAAGGTCAAAGGCAGGGATGAGTTCGATGCAGCAATGGAGAGCAGCCGTTTCGTGCTTGCTCTCTTCTCTTCGAAATGGTGCGGTAGGATCTGTCATATGGCGGCACGGGCGGTAAGAAAAAGAAATGTCGAATACTCTGCCACTCCAGGAGATCTAATAACGTAGCCACTGAACTGAGTATCATTCCTATCCACCCATTGAGACTCCCTCGTTCGCTTGGATTGGGCAGGAGAGCAAGTCATAGCGGCCTACTGCAGATACAACGAGCCGCTAAGCAGTTACCGTCTGATCTTGCCCCCATCTATCACCAATCTGGAGTTGACGATCTGGTGAGTGTGCCCGAGTGGTAACGCGCCGATTGGTCGATTGCAAACGTTAGTTGAAGCGCGATAGAGGCGGGGTGTGACCAATGAGGTCATCGCTCCTTAGGACGCCCTTGATGAGCCCGACGATGCCTTGGTTCTGTTGAAGGTCGACGGAGGTCAGCGAGTAAATGAGGAGGTCCTCATACGAGAAGGCGTCCATGATTATCCCGCTATTCATTTCTACATCCGTGGTTACAAGCATGTGTAGACCCGAGTTCGAATCCCGGCGGCGTCGTTTTGAGCTTATCAGCTCAGGTTCAATCTCCATTTTAGAACAGCAGAATTCATCTACCCGTGGCTGCTCCACACGATCTCCCATAGTCCGATCCAACTTGATTCCGGTCCCCGGCTCGAAGGGTTCTCCTGTGATGGCGATACTGTTGGAGTGATTGCTATAATGGCGGATCCGAGGGGTCATCTGTGGGGTATGGTGAACGATTTAGGGAGTAGGCAGGGAATGGGGCTTGGCCGCAATTGGGGGCGGATGAGATCAAGGCTTCTCTTCTTTTCAGTGTACGCCGATACTCGCGTTTATTACGTCCTGGATTCGAATCGTACCAAAGATGATGGAGCATTTTTTTGCACCTCCGACGGCTACACGATACCATTCCCAACGCTACGTCCGGAGGATTCTCTCGAGGAGGTTAAGGAGGCGGGCAGGATGTTCTTGGACCGACATACGTTGGAGAAAGTGAGCGTTCTCTTTGGGAATGCTCGATAGCGCGCATTAGGTTACAATATTCGACCCCCAACGAGTTCATCGATACCTCTCGGGAGGGTTCCCGTTGGTGGTGTTCGTATTGGTGGAGACTGATCTCGAATCGGCCCGAGAACGTTTGAGAGAATTCAGTACCGTGCCTGAGGGGGTATCCTCGATTCAAATATGGGAAGAATGGGTCCCGACGATGCCTGAGCTCATGAAAGCTCGAGATGAACTGCGACGGTCGTTATGGAAACGACTTTTGATGGGTGAGGGTCCGGGTTCAATTCCAGGGGTGAGGAGTCTCGCATTTCAGATTTTGAAATTGAGGGTCTCGCCGATATTCTCACAGTGGTAGTGCCCAGAGTAGCCAGCGCGGAGGTCGGCTTATGGCGAGCCACCGATGGGATCGATCGGCTCTCCCCAGTAACAGGCAGGGTTACGTGGTGTTCTACACCGTTGAATAGGTATCCGAGGCATGGGAACTCCTCCATGGCGTGCAAGTGATGTTCAACCAGTGGTTCGGGCTTAATCCCACCTCTGGAGCTTCACAGGTAGACGAGCTGTGTTTGCTGTGGAGAAATCCATTCATACGTATCCTGTGCAGGTGTTGACGTATGATCCCTTCGCGGACACTAAGCATCTGTCTGTGACCATCAACGAGGATGACTCTTTGTCGAGCTTTGTTGGCGACTTTATTGTTGCGGTAGTTCAAGAAGAGGTTCTTCCGTTGGTGGTGAGTCAATCGGCCGAGAAAGCCGCTGAAGTTGCGAACGAAGTGAGGTCTTCCTACTACTACTACTGCTACTACTACTACTGCTACTACTACTACTACTACTACTACTACTACTACTACTACTACTACTACTACTACTACTGCTACTACTACTACTGCTACTACTACTACTACTACTACTACTACTACTACTACTACTAGTAACATGGCATACCACACTTTATCAGGTTCATCCAGAGATCCATGCACTCACCGCTGAATCAATATCAGAGTTCCTGTCGATTCCTGCGGCTCCTATGAAGCTTCATCTACTATTGTTGTACGCCCCTTGGTGTGTTCATTGTCTTACCTTCCTATGGCATGTTCTACACCCACTGGTTGAAGCTCTCTCGGTAACGAGTACTTATCGGTTCTTCATGATGGATGCAACGAGCAATGATGTTCCGAGCATCTTGAGTACGCACAGCGAAGGATATCCGAGCTTCTTCGCGACAGATGGAGAGGTCCTTGCAAGATATCCCATGTTTGACACGTCTAACATGACCAAAGTCATCGAGTGGATGGAAATTATTTTCAATACTGTTGGTGTTTCGGAGAGTAGTCAGAAAGACGAATTATGAGTACAATGTCTGTTGGGTTGTTGTTAGTATGGAAAGGGATGCCGCGAGCAGGGATTGAACCGGGGACCTTCCGTATTGCAATGGCAGTAGCACTTGAGCTTTACGGTTTGCCTCTATTAAGCAGGCTACATATTCGGGCTAGCACATTGAGCGTAAATATAACTATGGAAGACATGGTTCCAGACCTGATGATTAACTGTGGAAGATCGAAGTCTCAATGTGAGTCCAAGATATTGAATAGGGCTAACTGCGCCGATGTGGTTCATCGGCTGTGCGAAATCGATCACGTGATCGATACTAGGCGCGCGCCTGCCAGGAAGAATATATAATACCATCATTAACCTTAACTCATGGCAGGTAATTTCCAGAGGGGAGATAACGCTTGAGCAGGGTTCTGACACGTTCGTTGTTGTCCTGGCGTTGTGGTTGTGAGATATTATTGTCATTGATTGTTCTCAGATCGCGGTGGATTCGGCACTGGTTTCGGCGGCAAAGGCAAGGGAAAGGGCAAGGGCAAGGGAAAGGGAGGAAAGGGCAAGGGCCGCAAGGGGAAGGGAGGCGAGAAGGAGTGGGTCCCCTACACCAAGCTCGGCCGCTTAGTAAAGGAGAATAAGATCACTTCCATTGAGGAGGTCTATCTCCATTCCCTTCCCATTAAGGAGTATCAGATCGTCGATCAACTCTTCGCTCCTGGTGTCCTCAAGGAGGAGGTAATGCTAACATAATCTAAGACAACCCATATCGAGTCGTTGTCATTGTTAGGTTATGAAGATCATGCCCGTTCAGAAGCAGACTACTGCCGGCCAGCGTACCCGCTTCAAGGCTTTCGTCGCCATCGGTGATGAGAACGGTCATGTTGGTCTCGGTGTAAAGGCCGCTAAGGAGGTCGCCACTGCTATCCGTGGTGCCATCATGGCTGCTAAGCTCTCCCTTATCCCTGTCCGTCGTGGCTACTGGGGTAACAAGCTCGGCGAGCCCCATACCGTCCCTATGAAGGTCACTGGCAAGTGCGGTTCCGTTGCTGTCCGTCTTATCCCTGCTCCTCGTGGTACTCATATTGTCGGTGCCCCCGCTTCTAAGAAGCTCATCGCCTTTGCCGGTATTAAGGATTGCTTCACCTGCAGTACTGGTCATACCAGGACTAAGGGTAACTTTCTTAAGGCTACCTTCAACGCTCTCCAGGCTACTTACGGTTATCTCACTCCTGATCTCTGGATGGAGCAGTTACCCGCCCAGAGCCCTATGCAGCAGTGGTCTGACTTCCTCGCCTCTAGCAAGGGTATCAAGATGCAGTAAGTGTGTCTGTTGGAGTTGATGATGATGATCATCGACAAGCATTCGCATTTGTATCTTATTATTCCGCCCGAACATGTCCTTCTGACAATGTTTAAGTTAGATGGCTCAAGTATTATAATTGCATAACTACCACTCGATGATGGCCAACGGTGGCCGCCGCCACCTGCAGTTGAGGCTGAGTTGAAGGTTTCGAATAGACTCTGGCTTGTGCCTACAGTGTTAATCAATTCACAGACCCATCATTGATAACATAACCTTGGTAACATCCTCAATAGAGATCCCATCATCACTTCACTGTGTTGGATTACAACACTTCATCATAGTCTGCCGTTCAGCATCTGAAACGGCCGGGTTGGTTCTTGTGAATAGAGATGGCTTTGTACTGCAGTGTGATAGTAATGCTGTTTATATGTCCTTTATATCGAGTTGCTGCAGCTGTACCTGGGATGGTTTCCCTGTAGCTCTCTCGTTTTCAATGGCAACTACCCTTTCGAGGGGTAGTAGATGGGCTCTACCAGTTTCACGATTATTAGGCTTCGCTCCGTCGAAACCCTTCTTCGGGAAGTCCGTTTTGACGCGGGGGTTCTCCTCAGGGGAAGCGGTGTGCTGCTGTTCATCGTGTCATCGGACCGAGGTTGCTATCAGGTTCCCCTTGACAAAATCCGTAATGTAGCCATAATAGCCCATGTCGATCACGGCAAGACTACGCTGGTCGACACTCTACTGCGGCAGACTTTACAAGGTACTCCGAACCTGTTCTAGTTGGATGCTCACTTACTGCTGGATTGTGGTGTCTATAGATGGTGATAGAATGAGCGGCTCGATGGACTGTAATGAGTTGGAAATGGAGCGGGGAATCACTATATTGTCGAAGGTCACCCGGCTGGAGTGGAAGGGTGAGTACAACATCATCATCGCGGCAAGAGGAGTAGAGTTATCCCCTTGTTACGGTTAGGACATGTCCTTAACATAGTCGATACGCCGGGCCACGCAGACTTTGGTGGTGAGGTTGAACGTGTGATGAGCATGGTTGATGGGGTAGTGTTACTTGTGGACATCGTACAAGGTCCGCGCACCCAAACTAAGTAGTAGGGCCTAGATCCCAGTGTGTGATCGAGTCATTACTACTACTACCATTGCTCGGGCACTGCTGAGTCCGAATCGCTGGCTCCTGTACAGGTTCGTTTTGCAGAAGGCATTAGCATTGCCGCACGTTCAGCCGATGGTGGTTATCAATAAAGCAGACAGGACCACAGATAGGAGTCAAGATCAAATAGAGACAGAGGTAGATAGTGCAGTGAGGTGGATTTCCCCATCAAAATGATTGCACCGCTGCATTGCAATATCATCATGGTGGTCTCAGAGGATTCATTTTTGGTAGATATTCGACTTGTTCTGTTCCTTGAATGCTAGTGAGCAGCAGTTGGATTACACAACGATCTATGCTAGTGCCAGGGACGGGTGGGCAGTTACCGAGTATGACCATATCAAGGATCTGAATAGACGACAGAACTGGTTGGACGCAATGCTTGGCTGGTCTGTCAGGGTGGTGGTACCTTGCTCAGTTACTGCATTTTGGATGCTATAGTAGACCTCATCAAGGCACCAATAGAGACACGTGTTGAACAGAATGGTGATAAGTTCTCTATGCTCGTCACAACGGTCGAGAAGGTGGGTTACGCCACGGCCTGGTCCGTTACCACGTCGTCTTCATTGTAGCCTCCATCCACGATGAATCTCTCCTGGACAAGTACTGGCAAGATTTACTCAG